TATAAATTATTAGACAATATACACGTATGCACATCTAAAACACTTTTGTTCAAAACAGGAATCTTATTTTTTACTATCATATATATTTTTATGTAAAAATCAGTTTTTATACAACTTAGAATATTAGCTAAATATTCAATATAATTGAAGATACATTCTCTTTTTATTATTATATGAAAATCATTTTAATCTTCATGTCCCTATATAATATATAAAGTATTTTCACTAACATTGTCCTTAACAATTATTTCTCCGGTCAAAAACTACAATAATATAATAAGCAATTAGAGATATTATAGTAATTAACATTTAACATATTTTTAAATTCTTTTTTGATTATTAAATGTGTGTTACATATATGTTCATATTTGTATAAAATTTTTTAATGAAATTAATAATAATTGTTTCTTTTCAAGTAAATGTAATAAGAATCAATACATATATTTTAACTTTATTAATATTACTTGGTTATAAAATTTATGAAGCAAAAAGATGTAAACTTTATTATTAGCTATTAATAATTTAATTGTGTAATATATATAAAATATTTTTAAAATCTCATAACTGTACCCCGTAATATGCAATGAACCTTTTTGTATTTATGGTGAATTCCTTTATTTAATGTACACAAGTGTACTCTGCTTAAAAAAATCAAAAGAACCGATTGAGTACGATAGAGATTTAAGATCTACCTTACCGCTTCCATCTTGTTTTTGTCCTGTATTTTTAGGATGAATACAGATGTTTACTAAATATTTCAATCGTATCTATTACTAAAAATCATATTAATCATTTCATCAGACTATAATTTTTATATATAGTTTATACGAAACCGCAAAATATAATGCAGATATTGATCCATATATATATAAGAATTTCCTGATAGACTTGAATCTATCTGAAGTATAAAAGTGTAATATAAAAGTGTAATATAAAAATCCAGATACTTACCATATGGTTCTGTATCTGATTTTTCCGATACATGTATGGTCGACGCATGTATATGGGTCTTTCCGAAAGTTTATACCGCTCTATCGGAACAAATATGAAACTCCAATAAGACGTATCGTTTTCAATGCGCACATTTCAAGAATGGAACCACGCGCATATACGATTTTTCTGAAAGTTTATATCGCTTTCCAAAAACTGAACTTTACATAATGATCCTGTACGAATATTACGAAAATTTATACCGTTCTATCGGAACAAATATAAGAATTTCGATCAATCTTCAATGCGTTTATTCTGAGAACCGAACCTCGCGCATATGACTCTCCGAAAGTTTATACTGCTCTATCGTATGAGACTTCTGATCAGCTGTATCGTTTTCAGTGCGCTTATTCCAAGAACCATGATAGAATTATATAAGGTGAACCATTGCGCATAATGGCAAAGTTCGACCAATCAAAATTGTACTAATTTGGAGTGTATTTATTTGCAGAACGAATCATGTGAATTTCTGCAAATGAACTCAAAAATTGATTGATTAACAGATCTCCCCACTACTTTCAACCCACTACGCATCCATGGGAATGGTTCACTTTAATTTTTACACCATGCCAAGAACCTCACATACATGATGTAAAAAGACAGGTATACCATTGCACATATGATGTCACGTGTCATGACGTAACGATCGTAGTGAGCCAATAAGAAATGCCCAGAAATGCAAAGCGAAGTGGAACAAACATATGTCTGAGCATAAGAATTGTTACACTTACTTAAAGACTTAAGTTGTAAAAGTAAGACGTAAGTAACGCACAAGCTTTAATATACGACGTACAATTTGCCTTTCTTGAAGACACGATGATAATAAGTTGTACATCACACGTGAAAGCTTGTGCGTTACTTACGTCTATAATTTAAGTCTAAGTAAATATTACGACAATTCTTCCCCACAACAGTGCAATGTATCATTTTGCAATCATATTGAATTCTGACATCCTAAATGATTTCTGATTGGCTCTATACTTTAGACGACTGTGCATTCACGGGAACCTGTACATCTGTCTTTTTACATCCTGCTCGCATATACGACTTCATACGGACATTCTGAAAGATTACCGCTCTATTGGAACAAATATGAAACTTCCGATAACGAGTGCATTCGGGAAATACTATTCGCGCTATGAACGCAAACGCTATCAAACGCTGTTCTTGGAGCCAATAGCGCAATAGCATTAGCAAGCTCCATGACGATCCTAGCGTAGCGTTGATAGCGTTTAACCAGAGAGATATATTCGTCGAAGTTAAATTAATGTAGGAGATTCTGTTTTCAATCACCAATCAAACTTTTCCCTATGATTAAAAATTATTTTAAAAATTTTGTAAAGTATTTGTAACGTAAATTTTTTATTTTCTCGTGAATGAATAACAGAACGCAATCTCAATTGCAATCTCTATGATAACTTGCCGCTAGGCCGAAGTAAACAATGTAAACTAGATCAAAAAATTAATAGTTACACTAAGTAAATTAATCAGATAAAAGGAAGAATCCTTGAGCATTTGTTGTACATCTGTTGAACATCGATTTCAAAAGAAGAAGCATATCTATATTTAATAAGGACCTTAAGCATCTATAGCGAAATACCACAATAGTATCTTTTTCCGTTAGAAGGGAATTAATTAAGGAAAAAATTGCTAGTAACAAGATATCTCTTTCACATTTATAATGAAATCAAATACAAGTTGAATTTTGCAGAAACTTTAAAAAATTAAAGATGATACACAAGCAAGAATTATGTTCACTCTAGCCTAGTGGCAAACCATCAGAAAAGATTAAAATTGAAATTGCATTCATTATATAAAATTTGAAATCCACACATTACGTATGTTCGTTTATTCTACGAAATTCTAAGAGAGAAAAATTTGGAGAAAAAAATCACTTGAGAACAGAATCCCCTCAAACGTTAATCTAATTTTGATAAATGTTAAACGCTATGCTAGAGTCCTTCGAATTTATAAACGTTACCAATACACTACCTTGGAAGGAATAACGTTGATAGTGCGCAGTTGTGACGTAAGACGCTATCATTAGTGACGTCATGATCGTGTTTATTAGCGCTATCTGCAGCTGCGAACAGTTTATAGCGCTAAATAGCGCGAATAGTGTCTTCCCGAACACACCCAAGATGTATCGTTTTTAATGAGCATATTTCGAAAATCAAATCTCACGTATATGGAAATTCATGTATATGGAAATTCACGTATATGGCTCTATACGGAAATTCCAAAATTTCTACCGCTCTGTCAGAGCAAATATGTGATTTCCGATGAGACATATTGTTTTCAATACGTACATTCTGAGAACCAAATCTCGCGTATATGACTATAATTTTCGAAAGTTCCGCTTTTTTTTTGGATATCAATATTATAATAAAAGCATGTATGTCCCATAGTACAGAAAGTTTTCAGAATTCATAAAATAATCGAAAAAATTCAGAAATATTTCAAAAATATTTCAACTTAAAAGTGAAACATTTCATAAATTGATATTTGCAAAATATCTACAATATTTCTGAGACAGCTCTGGAATACCAAAATGTCCGCGATTCTTGCACATGAAACCTTGTTAAAAGATTATTAAAATATTACAGAAAAAATCTGCAATCTTCTTGAAATATAACTAAAAAGTTATGGAAATAGCTGAAATTTTTTCGAAATATTACTGATCATAATCCTTTCAATCTGAAGTATTTAAATAAATTGATTAAGAGTCTTGTGATTTACAGACTACAAAATTTATATATTGGAAAAAACTTAAATTATTTTTGAGAAATAATTTAAGTTTATTATATTCAAAAGATTGCAAGTAACTAAAATATTACAATAAATATTATGCATAAAATAGTATTTTCATTATGATTTTATGTAGTATTTGCAATTCCACTAATAATATAATAAATATAATATAATAAATATAAAGTAATCGTCCAGTTCCTGGTGCAATAAATTATCAATAACAATTAAAATTCGATTAAAGTAAGAATGTTGAGATGTTATTTTTTATAATTATAATATTTCACGATGATTTTCTTCAAAGAAATAATTTAATATTTTATTATTAACTACAACTTCTACTTGGCTAATCTTAAATCGTATCTTAAGATAGAAAAATATTCTAAACTCAAAACTACGTTGTGACATTAATTATTAAAGGTGTTATATTCGTTTTTTTGCGATCAG